TCCACACTAGGCTCCAGTCTCTTCTATCCTTAGGCAGAGTGACACACACACACCCTAGAGTACAAGTGAGCAACATCCACAAATAATTCACATGTCTTGCTGTAAGAAAAACAGGTTATTCCTACCTCAATAATCTTCCTTCAGTTATGTTTTGGAGCATCAGTGTTGGATTTAGAATAGGGGCAGGGAACATGTGGTCCTCCAGATGTTGTTGTTGGGCTCCAACACCCATCATCCTTAGCCAACATGGCCAGTGATCAGGAATAATGTAAGCTGGGAAGAGCCAAAACATTCTCCACCCCTGATTTAGGGCTCTTCTTGCACTGCCTCTCAGTCTACATGAGGCCAGGTAGGCAACTGCCTTGGGCAGCACCCAAAGAATGCATCGCCTGCTGCCACCACCATGGTAACAGCAATAGCTGTGGTGTGCTCTTTGGAGGCTGGATCCGGCGCCACCTTGGCATTTCCCACCCCCACTCCTGAATACTGTCTCTTGGCAAACAGAAGGCATTGCTGGTTTCCTCCCACCCCCAAGGAAGTAATTGCAGGAGCTGCCCTCTGGGGGTCTCCTGGACTCTGCACCCACCTGGCCTGATTCAGAGTGGGTCCCTTTTCCCTCCATGGCAACCTCTGATCCCCACTTCAGCTGTTGGGTAAGGTTGCTTCGCTTCCTCCCCTTGTTCCCGATGTAGATCTTCACTCACCCATCTTGTGGTTTGCCTCGGGTGTCTAAATGTCTTGAGCCAGCCCTTTGCTGTCCCTATTTATCTACTTGCACTTAAGGGTGCTTTCGAACTGTTAGGTGGGCAGGAGCTGGGACCAAACGACGGGAGCTCACCCCGCCGCGGGGATTCGAACCGCCAACCATACGATCGGCAAGTCCTAGGCACTGAAGTTTTACCCACAGCGCCACCCACGTCCCAGGCTAGCAGCTAGGTTAATTTAAAAGAAGCTGCAGCTTTCTTTTAAAAATTCAAACCAGCTGAGCAGATGAATTGCTGTTGTTTTTAATTTTTTTGTTTTTTTTAAAAAAAGATGAACTTAAAAGCAAATCTTAGTTGGTGGTGCTTTGGAAATCAGGCAACCTGGGTAAGAAGCTGCCTTAAACTTAAGAACATAAGAAGACTCCTGCTGGGTCAGGCAAATGGCCCATCTAATCCAGCAACCTCTTCTGTCTGAGGCCACCCAGATGCCAGGCATTAGCCATGTGGATTGGCAGTAGCATGTTCTGCAGTCCCAAGAAGCCTTCTCACTGTGGTCTTCCGCTTAAGTGCCTTTACAGGGAGCATGTCACACACACACACACACACACACACACACACCATGTCACAACAATTTTCTCTGGCTATCAGTCTGTTTTCAGTTTCTTTGCTGGTTCTGACCTACAAAGCATTGCACAGAATGGAACAGGTTGTCTGAAACAGTGCATTTTCTCATACAAGCTTTTCCAGATCCTTGGGAAGGGCCCGTCTTCCTGTCCTGCCAACCGGACGCACATTTGAAGGGAAGGTCCACAGCTCAGTGGCAGAGCATCTGCTTCGCTTGCAGAAGGTCTCAGGTTCAATCCCTGGCATCTCCAGGCAGAGCTGGGAATGTCCCTGGTCTGAAATCCTGGAAAACCATCTACCATTCTGAGTAGACAATCTGGAGCTCTCTGGAAAAATGTTCTGACCTGATATAAGGCAACTTCCTTGTAGGAGGGCATTTTCATAGCTGCTCCCAAGTGCAAGAACTCATAGCCAAGGGGTGTCTGGCTAGCCTGCTGCTAATTACCTAAACTGACATGTTGTATGGTTGTTTTATTAACTTTATTGCTGTTTTACCTGCCTTATTCTTATGCTGTTTTCACTCGGAATCTTATTGCCCCTTATTGTTTTATTTTGCTTTTTTATTATTGCCTTGGGGAGCATTTGGTGGAAAGGTAGGACAAAATAAGGTACAAGTGGAACAACCAGGGCCCACCTTAGAAGGTGGTGGCTTCTCTTTCCTCAGAGGTTTTTAAACAGAGGTTGGGTGGCCATCTGTCACAGATGCTTTAGTTGAGATTCTTGCATTGCAGGGGGTAGGACTAGATAATTCTCACAGTCCCTTCTAGCTCTAGCATTCTATGATTCCTATTAGTCTACCACAGAGGACTCAACATGCAGCTCTCTGGTTGTCTAGTGCTGCCTTTCAGTTGCTGGAAACCATAGGAGAGTGATCTTGTACATCCAGGTCCTATATTTGGGCTTCCCACATGCATCTGTGCCAATGTGGTATAGTGGCTGGAGTATTGGGCTAGAACCTGGGAGACCAGGGTTCATTTCCCCACCCAGTCATAAAGCTCACTTGGTGACCTTGGGCCAATCACCATCTCTCAGCCTAACCTACCTCACAGGGTTATTGAGAAGGTAAAACAGAGGGACAGGAGAACCATCCATGCCACTACCTTGAGCTCTTTGGGAGGAAAGGTAGGGCAGAAATGTCATTGTTGTTGTTGTTGTTGTTGTTGTTAAAGAATCCACTATGAGGACAGGATGCTGGACTAGACAGATGGGCCATTGACTTGATCCAGCAGCCTCCTGTGATGTTCACCAGGTTGGCTGGCGCTGACTGCCAGCTGTAGCCCAAAACAACTGGGAGCCACCAGGTTGGCAAAGCGTAGTGTAGCACATTTATTTTTAACTTTTTATCACACTGGCATTCCAAACCTCAGTCAAGATGTTTATTAGGGCAGCATAAATGAGGTCATCACATTTTGTCTTCAGAGCTCTTTTGAGGGGGAATAGATTACAAGTGACCTGCAAAGGCCTCACAGTGAGCTTCATGGATCCGAGCAGGGATCTGGACCCTATTATCACCATGCCAAGCCAAATATATGTCACTCGGTGATATACACTTGGAACGAACTGTGGATACCACCCAACTGAACAAACTGAAATATTGCACTCTGAAGGTCAGATTCATGAAATGTAGGGCTATAAGGAGCTGTCTAATACAAGCTAGTTGTCCATCTAGCCCCCAACTGCTTGCTCTGACTGGCAGCAGTCCTCTAGAACCTCAACTAGGGGTCTTCCATTCACTTGTTCCCCATTATTTGTTTTAACTAGAGATGCCAGAGATGAAGATCTGGGACCTTCTGCATACAAGGCAAATGTTCACTAACTGAGTTATGGTCGCTTCTCTTTAAATATTTGAAACTGGAGAAACTGGATTCATTCCAGCCCTAGAACATCATGCAGTACAACACATTATTTTAACACACAAAGATGATCCATTTAAAATGGGGTGTGGAACCTCTAGCCATCCAGCTATTGTTGGACTCCAACTCTAATAATCCCCAGCCAAGATGGCCAATGGTGAGGGATGATGGGAGATGTAGTCCAGTATCTGGAGGGACAGAGAATCCCCATCCCCAATTGCTGTACTACACTGCATGCTCCTTCTTCTAAACATCCTGGCAGGTTAGAAATCCCAGGAGTTCCTGTGGTCCTTTCCCTAGTTAAAATGAACAGGGAATTGCAAACAAATTAAACCCATCTACAAGCCAAAAGATATTCAATTAATTTGGTTTGCAAAGGGCTCCATCTCCTGCCCCAGGAGTGCCTCTGTGCTCCCTTTCATCACAGCAGAGACAAAAGGGCAGGTGAGCTCTGGACATTATAGAGCTTGTGCAGAGACAAAAATCTCCCACCCTTCCAATTAAAAAAAAAAAGAATTATTTGTCATATTGGGAGATGCCAGGCATTGTGATGTGAGTGATGCACCCAAAAGAAAAAAGCCAATATATAGGAATCTAAATGGAGCCAGAAAGAGAAATGAACACTTTATGGAAAATGATCACAATGAAAATTAAGCTGCTTGAAGATGAAACAATTTACGATCAAACCCAAAGCACTTTATTTATGGAGGTGCCTGCTGTGACCCCTGGCAGTTGCAACCCCACAGCCTGAAATAAATAAAGTATTTTAAAGAAATAAATATAAATAATCCCTCGTCTGCAAAATGCACACTTGCACCACAGCTCCAGTTTAGCATAGCCCAGAAATGAAGAAGGCTCCACAACTGAGCAACCCAAACCTAGTTAAAATCTGCCCCCAACTATCCCACGCTAATGCAAGAAGAGGTCACACCCACCGCATCATTCAACCCACATCTCCCCGTTTCATCAGGCCAAGCCTTTAAGACAGTCATCTGCAAAGCACTGCTTCCTTCGTCCTATGCAACACGCTACCCAATAAATCCGGCCCGTCACGGCCAGTCAGATCACACACAATCAAGCCAACCCTCTTTTGTTTAATACAAAGGCTCTCCCTCAAAAAAAACACCCCAAAACCCATCACCTTTAGCCAGTAACATCCTCTTGTCCTCCTGTCTTCCCACCCGCCCCCGCACACACGCGTATAAAATCCAGCTTGCATAAAAAGACAAAAAGCAGCAGCAGCAGCAGCAGTCCATAGCCTCCCCGCATTCGCCATCACCCGAACCTATAACGGGAAAGTCACCGCCAAGAGCATCACCCCAGCGGCTTCTCTTATATCACCAGCCCGCTCCACATCCCTCTGCGCTGACAGTAACAGCGATTTGTAAAAATAAGGCCGAGATTTAAGAATTCACATCTCTGATCATTTAACAAAAGACGGTTTCGGAATCCCCCAGCACCTCTCCCGCTGTGTTAACGCCCAGTTCTTAATTTGGAACCATGGGAATATCTCGGGCTGGGGAGTGTATATGCAGCTCGCGCCCGCTTTCCTGAAGTGGCCATCCGGGTATCCACCCAGCATTCATTCATTAGCCAAGCTGCCTCTTTCCTCTCTGGCCCGTTGTCGGCATCACCACCTAGCCGCGGCTTCTCTCGCCAGAGAAGCGCACGCAAACCTTGCCCGTCCCCGAGAGCTGGAGTTCTAGCGGCAGGCAAGGCAAGCTAGCCAGCTAGCCGGCCGGCCGGTCAGCCATGCTCAGGGAGGCCCACCCCAGTCCGGAGCGCGGTGCGCCCTCCACGCCAGTCGCCGCGCACTCACCACCTGGCGCGCTATCTCGGTGGCCGCCATGGCCCCTTCGCCTCGCCTCCTCGGAAGCCGAGCCCGCTGCAAACTCTACCTCAGTCCAGGAGACACTGTTACACTGACTGAGCGGGTGGAGGAAGGACCCGGCTACTGCGGCATGGGGGGGGGAGAGAGAGAAATGGGGCGTGGACACGACCGAATCCTCTGCCACTCGTTTGGAGCTAGAAAGCCGGCTAGGGCGCAGAGAAGAAGGGCGCTGGCGGGATCCTTCCTTTCTGAAGCAGTCAGCTCCTCCCGCGCGCTTCGAGGAGTCTCCACAGGCGACTCCACAGCATTCCTCCCCCCGACGCCTCCCCCGGGCGAAATGGTGCAGTCCGAGACGCGCGCAAGGCTAGGGTCCGTGCGGCTATGATGTGACTGTGCGCTTGCCTGGGTGGCTTGAATGAGACCGGGGAGGAAGGAAGCCAAAGAAAGGGGAGGGAGGGACGGAGACCGCGAACTAGAGCGGAGGAGGAGGAGGAGGAGGGCGCTCCAGCCTTACTACTAGCGGTGCCCTCAGGGCAGGACTTCAGGGCCCCCACGCAACAGAATTAGCAGGAGAGGCAGTGCTGGCTGACCTCAGCTGGAAATAAGTGAAGCATGGCACCTTAGCATCTAAAGAGCTAAAACTACCTAACCGTAGCTATCGACGTTTCCCTTGTTTTAAGGGAAATTCCCTTATCCCGAATAGGATTCCTCGCAAGAAAAGGGAAACGATGACAGCTATGTACCTAACTTAAGCCTAGCATTACCTCTAAGGCTCTAACTGCACCGTTGCTTACTAAGCTGGCCCTGCAATCCCCTTGAGCCAAGCCAGCTTCTCTCCTGCTTGGGCTGGATCAGGGCTAGGCAACCCTTTTCTCTCAGAGGGCCACATTCCTTTCTAGGGAACCTCTCTCAGGGGCCACATGCCAGTGTGGGCAGGGCCAGAAGCAAAAGTGGGTGGGGCAATAAATGCTAATTTACTCGCACACCTCTCTTTGTCCACTGCCTAGGGCAGACAGGATAAACCACAGAATCAAAAGAGTTGGAAGGGACCACAAGAGTCATAAAATACAACGCCCTGCAATGCAGGAATCTTGTGCTCTATGTGAGCCCAACAACCCGAAAAGCTCCAATTTCTACTTTTTGTTAAGTATGTATTTTTATTTGGGGTGGGCATCTCCCCCCCCCCACTCCCCGCTACGCCCCTGTACACAGCCAAAGGAAACTGGAAGCAGCATCAACATCAAAGTCTTGTGGCATCTAAAAGCCTAACAGGTTTTATTACAGAATGTTGAGTCCATTTCAACAGATGCATTAAATGTAAGTCTCAGTTGGCAGCTGCAGATGCGTTTGCTCTGTTGAGATAGAAAATGTTGCGAACAGCAGGGCCCCATAGCCATGAAATACAAGAAGTACAATCTGTGACAATTTCTTTGTAAAGCTTAAAGATAAGCCAAGTGACCCTTCATTAACAGCTTATCTTAAGCTTTGCATAAAAAAACCACATACTGTATTTGTTGCATTTTGCGGCCATGTGTTTCCCCTGTTTACAATTTGTTTTTCTCTTTACTCATGCACATGTGATGAGACTGAACATTTATATGGGCTCTTTCAAGCATTCAATGCATTCCACATTCCAGCCCTTACAAAGTAAATCAGTATACTATCCTCTGTGTTGCAAAGGCACCAAGAGAGTAGTTTGCCAAAGTCCACCTGGCGAGTTTGGAAGGAGGTGACATTCAAACCAGGGACTTGCCAGTTTGTAGTTGTTGTGAAATTGTGTTGTATTTTTGCACACATGTCCTGCATGCACGCTTCCCACAGGCATTCTGGTTGGCTACTCTGAGAACAGGACCAGACTGGACACTGGCCTGAAATATCTCAAAACAGTGAGCAACCTTCAGTTCTCCAGAACCCTTAATGAGGCAGGATGTTAAGCAAAGTGAGAGCAGAGGTTAAGGGAAGACAGAGGAAAGCTGGCTTGAGGTAGCCACAAATCTTCATTTGGTCACAGTCTTACAGTGGAGCATAGGAAGAGATCAGAACTGGATCAGCCTCAACTAGGTGCTCTGCGCGTAACACTCTCCACCTATTAACTGTAGACACAGGACTGCACTGTGCATACCACAGGCACCATATGTGAAGGGCACTCATACTGGAATCCACAAACAACAGCACAATGGTGTTGACCTTTAAAGCCCTAAATGGCTTCAGTGCTTTATACCTAAAGGAGTATCTCCACTCCTATTGTTCAGCCTGGACACTGTGGTCCTTCTGGCAGTGCAAGCAGTGAAGTTACAGGGAACCAGGCAGTGGACCTTCTTGGTAGTGGTGCCCATCATGTGGAACACCCTCCCATCAGATTTCAAAGAGATGAACAATTATATGACCTCCCGTAGACATCTAAAGGCAGCCCTGTATCAGGATGCTTTTAATGTGTGATTTTCTGCTGTGTTCTTTTTATATCTTTTGTTGAAGCTGTCCAGAGTGGCTGGGACAACCCAGACAGATGGGAAGGGTACAAAAAAAATAAATCTATCATCATCATTAAACTTATTCTCATGGAACTCTCCATGTAGGCACACTCCCTTTCCACCTTTCACAAAAAAATTAAAGCCTTAAAAAGAAGAAGCTGGCTTTTAAGAAGTGATCTGTAGTTTTCAGGAGATTTGTATTAGTGTTTTATCTTGCTGATGTATTAGTGTCCTGTTACTGAGCCTGTCAAAGTGAGCATGCAATTTAAGTGTTTCCTTTTTTAATAATGTATTTTATGTTTCTCTTGCAGGTTGCTTTATCATTGTCATGCAAAAGTGGGATGAAAATATTAATCGAACTTTTAATAAACCATATTTGTGGTTTGTATTTGGAGGGGAGCTGAAGGAGATCACTTGGAGAATGAACGGTTGAATGGAGCTTGAAGAGGGTTGTGGGGAGAATTTGGTTGCCAATTGGAAGCAGGAGAGGGATGCCCATTTGTAAAAAGGTAAAGGGGCCCCTGACCATTAGGTCCAGTCGTGGCCGACTCTGGGGTTATGGCGCTCATCTCACTTTATTGGCCAAGGGAGCCAGCGTACAGCTGGCCAGCATGACTGAGCCGCTTCTGGCGAACCAGAGTTGCTGTTTACCTTGCCACCAGAGTGGTACCTATTTATCAACTTGCACTTTGATGTGCTTTCAAACTGCTAGGTTGGCAGGAGCAGGGACCGAGCAACGGGAGCTCACCCTGTTGTGGGGATTTGGACTGCCAACCTTCTGATCAGCAAGTCCTAGGCTCTGTGGTTTAACCCACAGCACCACCCACGTCCCTTTGTATCCATTGTATCCCTTTGTGCCCATTTGTATCTGGGACCAATTCAAGGTGCTCACATTATTGCTTAAAGCCCAAAATGACCAAAGTCCCAAATATCTGAAAGGCCATTTCCATCCCTACTGACCTTCTCAGGTGTTGGGAAATTGTGTCCTAGGAGAGGGTTTTCTGTGTGGCAGCCACCAAATTGTGGAATGCCTTCCCTACAGAGGTGTGACTAGCACCTTCACCAAACAGCTTCACCCAAGATGCACTTCTTTATCCTAGTCTTGGACCATTAAGGTACTTTTTTTCCTGGGACTCACCTCTATAAGCTGAAGTTATATAGACCCCAACCCACTTGGAGCAGTTTCATGTGTTTTACCTTGGTAGTGGTTTTTTTATTTATGCACTTATTTTATTTTTTTAAATAAGTGCATATTCTATTGCTGTAACCTACCCAGGGACCTTATGGTGAGGGACAGGTAAGAAATCTTATAAAATAAATAGGAATTAGCTAAGTGCTAATGGGTTCAGCACAATAAGCAACTCCTTAGCAATGCATGCTTCCTTAGAAGTAAGTCCCAATACAGTAAGTCAAATTAGACTTACTACTTACCTTTGCAAGTGATGTATTTGGGATTGCAACATCAGTTTCATTTAGGAATAAAAAGGTCACACGCTACCCCTAGTGGATATTTCAAGAAATGCTTAGGAGAAGATGCAGACTGGAAAAGATACTGCTTTTATCTTCCCTATAATTAAAGAGAAGCAGATTTTTAAAGTTCACACCTGCCTATCGGGCAGCATAAGGGAAAGCTGAATGCTTGTATTCTGTTTGGTCAGCCTAAACTGGCCTAAAAATAATTGATTTTAACATACTTTATGTCTCTCATTTGCAAGAACCAATACGGTAATAATATTCTAGACCACAGTGTTGCAACTTCCATTGAGAAAGCTGTGTTGGCTGGTTGCTGCAGAACCTAAGATTCTTGTGATATCGGAAAGCTGCAGTCTTATAAAGCTTAATAATAATAATTATTTATTATTTATACCCTGCCCATCTGGCTGGGTTTCCCCAGCCACTCTGGGTGGCTTCCAACAAAATATTAAAATACAATAGTTTGTTAAACATTAAAAGCTTTCCTAAACAGGGCTGCCTTCAGATGTCTTCTAAAAGTCTGGTACGGAAGTTGTTTCTCTCTTTGACATCTGGTGGGAGGGCATTCCACAGGACGGGTGCCACTACTGAGAAGGCTCTCTGCCTAGTTCCCTGTAACCTGGCTTCTCACAGTGAGGGAACCGCCAGAAGGCTCTCAGCGCTGGACCTCAGTGTCTGGGCTGAACGATGGGGTGGAGACGCTCCTTCAGGTATACTGGACCGAGGCCATTTAGGGCTTTAAAGGTCAGCACCAACACTTTGAATTGTGCTTGGAAACGTACTGGAAGCCAATGAAGGTATTTCAAGACCCATGTTATGTGGTCTTGCTGCTGCATTCTAGATTAGCTGCAGTTTCCAGGTCACCTTCAAAGATAGCCCCACATAGAGCGCATTGAAGTAGTCCAAGTGAGAGGTAACTCGAGCATGCACCACTCTGGCAAGACAGTCCATGGGCAGATAGGGTCTCAGCCTGCGTACCAGGTGGAGCTGGTAAACAGCTGCCCTGGACACAGAATTGACCTGCGCCTCCATGGACAGCTGTGAGTCCAAAATGACTCCCAGGCTGCGCACCTGGTCCTTCAGGGGCACAGTTACCCCATTCAGGACCAGGGAGTCCTCTACACCTGCCCGCCTCCTATCCCCCCAAAACAGTACAGTGGTACCTCTGGATACAAATGGGATCCGTTAAGGAGCCCCGTTTGCATCCAGAAGCGAACACAACCCGCGTCTGCACAGGTCACGATTCGCCGCTTCTGCGCATGTGCTTGTCGTCATTTTGACCATCCGTGCATGCGCGAGTGGTGAAACCCAGAAGTAACGCATTCTGTTACTTCTGGGTCACCGTAGAGCGCAACCCAAAAGCACTCAACCTGAAGCAACTTCAACCTTAGGTATGACTGTACTTCTGTCTTGTCAGGATTCAACCTCAATCCATTAACCGCCATCCATCCTCCCACCGCCTCCAGACACA